TAAGATGGTTGGTAACACATTGCCCAAATCACAAATCTCTAGGCAGATCTAGGTTTGGCGATGACGTTAAATGGCTGCGGCGCAACAGTGAAGCCAGCCTCAGGTATGGTAGACGGAGGGGGGCTGCCGGCGGGCAGAGAGAACTGGAATCGGTTCATCAGATTTGCGAAGAACAGGAACGCCACTTGAATTGCGAAACCTTCTCCAATACACACTCTCTTTCCTGTAAAAGTAGGGGGAGCAAAATTCGTGGTAATTATGTTTTTCTTACTCTAAACAGTCAGAAAGTGATCAAATAAAGGCAGCAAGGTGTTGGTATTACCAATGCCGAATGGAACCATCCAAGGATCTTTCTGGAAACACCCTTGGCTGTCGATGAAGCGTTCGGGGCGGAACACTTCGGGGTCTCCCCAGTGTTTTTTGTCATTGAGGGTGGCCCAAATGCTGATTAAAATCGTGGTGCCCTGTTCAGAGGCAAATAAAAATTAGCGGCCGTACTATATTTCAAGCGAACTTCTCATCGCCTACTTGTGCACCTCACTGAGTGCTCAAGACCTTGGTACCTGCGGTATGGTGTATCCGTTCATCTCGACCTCCTTCGTGGCCTCGTGGGGGATGGCCAGGGGCGCGATCGTGTTGGCTCTCATCACCTCGAACATGGTGGCCTCCACGTACGGCAGTCTGACAACACAGTCGGCATGTGTCACTACCGCGGGTCCACCACAGAACACGCGAGAGCAGCGACAGCGCGACAGCGACGCACCACAGTAACGCGGGTTTGCCGGCTTTGCCATGGAATGGCGCGTTTTACGGTCGCAGCGGGAAGGCAAACCAGCTTCACTGCGATGCGTGCGCGTGCCCTGATACATCGGGAACAGTTGGTCGTGCAATTAGTCGCAACAAAGACAAAGGTTCTCGTTCTCACTTGGGCTTGTCCGACATGGTGACGGCCTTGTCGGCCCCGCTGCAGACGGCGTCCAGCTCGGCGTGCACCTTGGCCTGGACCTCGGGGTGCATGGCCATGTACATCAGGCAGAAGGACAGAGTGTTGGCGGTGGACTCCCCACCAGCCATGAACAGGTCGAGGACGGTGGTGATCAGGCTTTGTTCTGCAGGGGGAAAAAAATGGTCTTTGCACTACGGAATCGAAGAGGAAACATAAACAAATACACAAAAAAATAGCTTCTGTAACAGGTGGCTGATTAACCCCGCGCACGTTTGCACCACATACAGGAGTGCGAACGGGTAGGTTGCTTATCGAACCTGCGAAGCTCTCTTAACGCCTAGTAGGTAGGCAACATCTTGCCTTCAGGACATGCGTGTACTGCGGGGTAACCTACCCCGAGTCTCGCAGGCGCCGAGCTCCCGTGATTTGCCGAATGAATTTGAGGAGAACGGGACGTACTTTCTGGATGATCACTTTGTGAGTGACTATAGGCAAACCCACTCACACGCCTGCATGCGGTATCGGGTGTCCGGGAGAATACGAGGCCACTCGAAGGGTTGCCTACGCTCTGGCTTGCAGGCGTCGATGGCGAGAGGGGAGAGGTGGTTGTGGCAGGAGGAGACCGGTCGCCTCCCGCTACCCCCAACGCTCCCCCTCTCGCCATCGGCGCCTGCAAGCCAGTGCGTAGGCAACCCTTCGAGCTGCCTCGCATTCTCCCGGACACCTGGTACAATTCTTATTCAAAAGTGCGCGGGATTGATCAGCCACCTGGTACACTAAAAGCCTGCATATCTTACCATCGAAGTAACTGCCAGGCTGTGACTTGTTGATTTCCTCTGTATACTTTCCGATTAAGGAGTCGCCCGTACCGTTCTGACGCTGGTTCTTGATCTCCTCCTATGGAATGTCACAAGCCATTTCGATTTCATTTTGATGTCAGGGGGGGGGGGGGGGCTACCAACCAGCCATGGTAAGCAATTGGTGTAACACTGACCCGGATGTAGGACTGCATGTCGAAGATGGGCTGGTAGATCTCGTTGTACGCGGACATCTCGGGGGCGATGTACTTGAGGACGGGCCAGAGGTCGCAGGCCGCCGTGCCGAGGCGCTTGTTGCGCATGGCGCGGTTCATGATGTCGAGGAGGCGGACGCTCTGCGGGTCGAGCGCGGAGCCGGTGCCGCGGGCGAACGGCTTGCCCGACACCATCCACCACAGCACGTTGAGCACGGGGGAGTTGAACATCTTGTTGGGCTGCAGTTCTGGTCCGTCCCGCTCGATGGCCTCCAGGGTGGCGTCCACCTCGTCGAGCACCACGCCCTCCAGCTTGCTCTTGCCGAGGCCGAGGTCGCGCAGCTCGCGGAGGGTGAAGCGCCGCTGGGCCGTCCAGTACGGGCCGTCGCTAAACATGATACCTGCGAGGGCATAGAGGAGGTCAGAGTAACGGGCTCGGCGTAGGGATTTTAATTTTCCGGAAAACTATTTTTGAAACAAATTTCAGATTTTTTTTAATCCCACCGTTTTTCCTGGAAAGTTTAGCCTTTCCAATTTTCCCTGAAAATATTTCCAATTTTTTTCCAGAAAGTTTCCAAGTTTTCCGGGAAAATTTCGGGCTGTATAATCTCTAACTTGGTGTCTTACCGAGGGGCTTGCCGAAGGAGCGCTCCCTGAAGGCCTGGCCGCCCGGCCTGGTCTGGCAGTCGTCGTGGTTGAGGACGGCGATCGCCTCCTCTCCGCCGCACACCATCAGCATGGTCCGGGGCCCCGCGGCCAGCCCGACCAGCGGCCCGTACTTGTGCCGCCAGTGCTTGTGGGCGTGCAGGTGGATCAGCTGGCCAGGGATGTAGGGCAGCGCGCCTACCACGGGCCAGCGCGGCGGACCTGCGGGCAGGAGCGAGCAGGGGCGGTGCTCAGCGGGCGCCTGCAGAGGGCTGGGTAGGCAACGCGCTGTGCGCGGCAGTCGGGGGAAGTGACGGGTTGCCTATCCACCGCCCGGCAGGCGTTCGGTTTCTCGATACAGTTTACACCGGGTGGCTGACTCACGCCGAGCACTTTCATAGTTGTACTGTACCACATGCACGCGTGCGGGTGGGTTGCCTACTCGCACGGGGGCATAAGGAGCCGTGTGCAGAGAGGATAGGCAACCCCGTACGCAGCCGCGCATGCGGTACAGTATAACTACGAAAGTGCGCGACGTGAGTCAGCAGGAGTCAGTCACCCGGTATGTTTGAAAGAATGGGTCGTTACATAACTGTTGGCGTTGGACGAAAATGATTGGAGACAGGACAGACGTGAACTTATCTTATCTGACGTTTCTTTCTTGACAATGGCTGACTCTACACTGGTACGAAATGAGGCTAAGCTTCCGATACTGGATAAAATGTCACTTGGCGACGAAACAGGCGCTACAAACAACGGTTCCGTTGTCGGGATGAGAAAACAGCAATAACAAGTGGCATCCCCGTGGAAGAGTCAATTTTCCCGCGACCCCCTCCCCGCTCCCCTCCCTCGGACCTTTTGCGTTAGTTTGTTGCTCATCGCCGAAGATTATTATGATGTCTGCAGATTGACAACGGCGGCCAACAGAGCCCTGTAATGGGCCGCCTCCAGGACTCTCCAAGCTCCTCGAGAGGCTGCAGTAGCTGCGGAGGCAGGCTCAGGAGCGTACAAGAGGACCGCAAACCTGTGCCACCTCTGCCGCACCTCACGCATCCTCAGAGCCCGGAGGAGACCGCCAAGCCCGCCAAGCAGCTCGGGCTCAAGGTCATTATCGCCGCTTCTGTTGTTGACTCTGAATGACTCGGCTAAAATGAGGGAACTATACTTAGCGTGTTGCCCAGAGAAGATGCTACTTACATAAGTGCCTTTGTTCAACTTCATAGGCCGCTGAAAAACCTCGTCTGATTTTGTAGTTAAATGTTGCGGCCCATAAAAGCGGACACGCGGCTTACGGATTGCTTGCATAGGGGCGGAGCCAGAGCGGCTCTAGTAGAGGGGTGAGGCGACACGGGGACCTTTAACGCTTTTTGTTGGCGGCTTAGGGTAGAAGAAGTCACCCGTTCTGGGGCACCTCCATGACGCCGGGCGGTTGGGCAACACACCCTAACGCGTGCATGCGATACACAGTCGAGGGTAGTACAGCTACACCATCAGACGGTGTTTTCGGTCACTTAAAGTACTTGTTGGTGCGTGAGAGGTGGCACTAGAGTGCCGAGCATTAATGCTTAATTAATCATTAATTAATGACTGCAACTTCTTTAGCGTTACGCGCGACACTCACACAGGTCTGAGGTTTGGGAGGCCCGGGCGGCGGGACTTCCTCGATACCCAACTGACATGAGTGTGGAGAGCACTGCCCGATTTGTTTCGGACATGGTAGAGAACGGGGAGCACTTCAAAACAAGACGGGGGAGCGTGTCGCAGAAAGTACTGGCATCTTTTATTCTTCAAACGTCATCAATAATAAATACCTCAAACAACAAACAAGTTGTGTTCTGACAATGAACCCGGACTCCTTTTGCAACTGCGTGACTGGCACGAACGTGTACGAACGTACCTGGAGGAAAGTTTTTCAAGTGCCTCTGCTGCCGCCAGTGCCGGAGAAGGACGACCGCCACGAGCAAAAGGACGAGCCACAGCACGACCGCCATCTCGACCAGGAGACGGTGCAGACCGACTCAATGAGTGACTCGGCGTCGGCGGGGTGGGGCGGGGGCGTACAGTCTATGGAGCTCCTCGGCGTGCAACTGAATGCTGCGCCCGCTGCCTGCCGCTCTTGTACTCTTACTAAGAGATGTCCACTATCTCTGGCCTGCCGCCGCGGGCCGTACAAGACGAGCTCGTAAGAGGAGAGAGAGAGAGAGGTGACGGGTGCGGCAGGGCCGGGGCGAGCGGGGG